TGTGTGTGTGTGTGTGTGTGTGTGTGTGTGTGTGTGTGTGTGTGTGTGTGTGTGTGTGTGTGTGTGTGTGTGTGTGTAGTTAGCTAAGCTTGTTGTGTGTCCTAGGTCCTGTACTTATTTCTTCTGCAGTTGTAAAATAATAACGTGTTCTCAATGAGACGTGATCTCATAGGAAGGAGTACGATGACACAGGGTTGCCGTTTTAAACTCAACAAAACTCAGAGTATTTTTGTATATTCTTATTCCACATCGTGCTTTCGTTGACTGTGTTTCGTGCTATTTAGAATTGTCTTGAGCCGTTTATTTATAAACCTTGGGACTATGCTTCACTTCCATCGACCGGGCCAAACATGGCTTACTCTCAACTGAGAGGCAAAGAGAGAAAGAGAAAACGACTGCCAACATAAAACTCTAAATGACCTCAAAGTTACACTCTCTCTCTCTCTCTCTCTCTCTCTCTCTCTCTCTCTCTCTCTCTCTTTCTGAATTGGGTTTTGTGATTTATTGTGAAACATAGTGTAGGCCACGCCCACTTCTGGTTTTCAAAGTTAACCCCCCCCTCTTTCACTTTTATATAGACGCATAACATTTGGTATGCATATACAACATTCGTAGACGAACAAAAAAGCCTCTTGGAGGTATGTCGGAAAATGTACAGGAAGTCGGCCATTTTTGGAATTGGACGTTTGACGGTTTTTGGCTGATAAATTGTATTTTTCTGTCTCTGTAACAAAACAAACTTTAACCGATCGACTTCAAATTTGGTCAGGACCATTATGCATTTCAAGATTCAAGATTCAAAGTGTTATTATCATAACAATAAAGCCCACAGCCGAAGCCCACGGTTCACCACCAACCGCTTCACGTATCTACCAGATTCCCCCCCTCAGCGTCACACCCGTTGAAACGCCAACTCTGGTTATCAGAAGCTATATCATTGTTTTCCGTTCATTTGCTCCTACCTGTTTCTCTTCCTGACTTTTCTCAAGTCAGTCCACCCCTCAGTGTGGCTCTGACAGATGACAGGTCAGAGGTCATGTGGTTGTAATTAGGAGAGCAGCCTCGGCCCTCAGGCTTGCTTCCTGTCTCTGATCCTCGAGCTAACAGGCTTCACTTCAGGCAGCCCGGAGAACAGCTGTTTAAACAACCTAAACAACACCGTCTTTAACCCGTCTCAAAAATTCATTATCTCTTTCCTCACAACACGCCGACCTCCCTCCTGATCAGTTACATAAATGCAGAAATATATAGCCGCAGGAATGCTAACGGCATCGTTTTGGTACTGATACTGACAGTATCTACTGAGCCGTATCTCTTGTGACCCGGAGGATTACTAGTCTGCAGTGGTGTAGTGGGCGTTGGACGTACCCCCACTTATTTGAAGCATGATTTTTTTTTTAAAAGTCTAATAAATATAAAATCATTGCCAGTGTTATCAGTTGCAACTAAGTGTGTATTTGTTTTAATAATGGCGAAAACTTAATAGGCAGATTTCACAGTAATTATAATAAAAGCTCAAGCATTTATGCAACTGATTTGAAGCATGTGTGTAGGGTGACCAGGTGACCAGGTGTGCCACTTTGAGCAGGACAGCACACAGCATTTTTATTAATTGTCCCGCATCCCACAAAATGAGACTATGTCCCGCATTTGAGTGACAGTCGCGCAGAAAGGCCGGATCGGTTCGCTGACGGCCGGCACCGCTCTTTATTATTATATTGTTTAAACGGCATCATGTGGAGCTGACAGGCGACACAGAGGTACCCCCCCCTGTTGACAGTTTACGAGCGCGTCCATAGTGTCTCCCCCCGCCCCGTCCACCCAGTAAAAAAATCCCCACTACACCACTGCTAGTCTGTTAGTTTTGGGTCATTGAAGGAGATCAGAGATTTTGCTTCTCGTTTCCTATTTTACGACATCCAACATCTTCCGGTCCGTTTTTTTACAGGTTGCTCTTGTTTCCAGGTCTGGTCTTGAACGCTCACTCTTCCAAGTGGTCTGTCTGTTTAAAGTTTAAAGAGTGTTGCACTTAAGACCTGTGTTTACATCGTATGAATCTTCTCAAAGAGGGGAGCAGATGTCCATTTACGGTATGGACTGTTGGAGGAATAAGTTCCAGTTCAAGTCTGTCAGCTGATTTCTTTGCTTCCTCAAGGCCTTTACACACCGGGGGCATTTCTTTAGATCAAATCATTAATCATAATCATTCAATCAAACCTAAAGTTGAATCTTTGGAGACCTGTGTGTACGTCCTTAACTTTGGGGTCAACTTGAGCATGTTCAGAGGATTACTTTGGACAACTGGGTAATGATTTATCGGACAGGAAATAACAAAACAAGCCTGTAATATAAGTTCTAGTCCTGGTGTTGAAGACTAGACAGTTTATCAACGTCTCATTGGACAATCCATCAGCAATTGAACAAAGGGGTCATGGGTAGGAATTGCTTTGACAAAGGTGTCAGAATAAAAAGACCACTTGACTTTTTCCTGGTTTATATCACTCCAAGAACATGCAGAATGAAATGCAACTTAAACGGGCAACATATGGAGAAATACCAATAATTAACAAGAATACTATCAAACGTTCTCTTTAGGAAACATCTAGGCGCGTGAACTGAAGTGTATTGATGTTTTGGAAGGATGCAATCTTAACTTCTTATTACATTTCTCTCCTGTTCCTGTCAAGTTTAAATTCTGTTGCTTTGGCAAAGCGATATGCTGTATTTGCTTGTAAAAATAAATATCCATGTAAACAGCGTCCCAAACGATCCCTTTACAAGAGCTGTGTAACATAAACCTTTGACTGTATTTCTTGTAATTTATTTCTCATTTTCTACAGAGAACTTTTACAATTTACTTTGTCAATAAAACAGTTTCTGGTTCTGAAAAGCCTTTGCTCACATCCTTCCATAAACCTCGTTAGCTACTGTTAACTCTGCGGGGATAACTGCAGGAGATTTTACGCCACTTAATTATTTACTGTTAAACAGGATTAAGAGAAACCTCGACTTGATTTCTGCAGTCTTGTAAAAGTTGGGTTGATTGGGCTGCAACTGAGCGCATGTAGGTAAAGCACAGCACGTTACTTTAATGGGAAACAAAGTGATTACAAGCTGGTGTTTGTATTAGGTCGGCTTTGATTGAATCACATTTAACGGCTCGTTTGAGAGTTTTGACTCTCAGAATCAACAAGGGAATCATATTTTGCAGTTTTAACGTTCGCAATGTGGTGGATGTTAATCTAAATGAACAATTTCAACAAACCTTATTGGAAGAAAGATGTAAATAGATTGTTTGTTTGTTACGTTATTGAAGTTATGTGAATTTAATGTATCGACTTCCGCTATTTTGGACACCATAGTTGCATCTCAACGCTTGATGGGTTTCTTTTGTCACCTGATCGAATTCACGTCCACTAACGCTCCCTAACAATTCACTTTTTCATGTGACCAGTGTGTAAATATTGAGTCGTATTAAACCTAAGTTAGAGCAAACTAAAGTGGGCCAGATCTCACGCCTGAATGCTCCGCCGCTCGTTAAACGGACAGCTTGTGATTCTGAGTGTCTTGCATGTTGGAACAGTCTGCTGATGATCCAGGAAAACGTTCAATTTACCAACAGAGATTTTTAGATCTCCGCTCGTGGCTTAAAGTATTTACAGCGCAGCAGTCTGCCTCCCCTCTAGCGAGCCTCCCGCAGGACGGCATCACAGCTAATGGGGGTGATACGGCCCAACAGATGGAGCTGGCATGAGCGCAGACCCACCCCACCCCTCTTTGGCTGGTTCCGCTGTTTGTTTGAGAGAGTTTGATGATTTTTGGGATTGAATCATTTCCCTCTTGGATTTAGAGTGCTTTGTGAGCCTACATGGTGTCATTTGTAAGGAATTAGAAAGCTGAGGATCAGTTTCCTGCAGGAGTGTGATGATGTGCTTTGTGGTCAAAAGGAAAAACATTGTGACACATTAATGAAACATAGAAGCCTCTGATTTCACTTTTCATTCTGAAAATGTTTAATATTTCATAATCAAGTGTCTGTTCGTTGCTCAGTCAAACAAAACAAATAGATACTTGGTTAATGAAGAAGGAAATACACACACAGTCCAGCCCTGAGCATGAATGCTAGCACAGATATTGACTATAAGGTACGATGGCCGACAGGTGCAAACGCGCCAAAGTAATAAAGACAGCTATTTACATAAACTGCTCTGCAGCTCGGAGTCTCTGTGAGAATACATCAGTTTATCATCAACATCCCAATGACTTCCTGCTCTGGGAATTAAAGCACCTTTTTCATTTTGATACGTTGGCATACATTTAGGTTTAAGGGTCAGTTCAACACAAATACAGAAAGATAAAACCCAACTGTGTATCTTCATTCTTTCATTTAGAGGTTTAACTCCTTTAGGAACATTATGTAAATGAAAACAGTCAAAGCTTCTCCAACAAGAACCAACAAGAAACACATTTTCTCTCGGTTGATATGCAAAGTTTCAAACATGCTGTTTAACATGTACATACAACTCCATAAAACGAACTTGGTAGGGCGACTGTGGCTGCGAGGGAGTTTGGTCTTCTTTCAACCAGAAGGTTGTGGGTTCGATCCCAGCCCATGCAGTCAACATGTACATTTAGTACAGTCCATTTAGAAGAAACCATGGCTAAGTGAGTTAATGTGTTTTTGGTGGACTGACCCTTTAAAGCCATTCTGAAAGGCACGAAGGAAACGTTTGTTAAAGGTCTGACAGCTGTCTCTCCCAACACATTTGAGTCTGACAGAATCTCTTTATAAACACAACTGATAGCACGGATAGAAGATTCCTGATACGTGACACAACTTGTGTTTCAACACGAAGTCCCTGGAAGGAGAGGAAAGACGCCCGAAGAGGAGAAGTGAGTGGCTTTGTACTAAAGTGGATTTCTAGTTCAAAGGAGGGTTAGATTGATTCCTAAACGTTTATTTTATGATTTAGTCACCTTGTGTTACCTTACGTTTTATAAGAACATTTTTTCTCAATCAAGTTTTCTTTAAGAGATCAAGGTTGAAGAAAGAAAAAAGAGTTTGAGATCTGCCCAAAAAATTATAACAAAAAGGATTATTACTTGTTTCACAAATTCGGATAGAAAAGTCTGAGTTATCCGAATAAAGTCTGGATTTTGAAGGAAAAAGTTTGAAATCCGAGAAAAAGTTTGAAATCGTACTTTGATCGAAAATTATAACAACAAGTATTTTTTCTTATTTTAATTTCAAAATGGTTGGAAAAGAAACAAAAGATTAAAGTCAAAACCCTGAGAAAAAAAATCTGAATTTGTACTTTAATCTAAATCATGAGAAAAAAGTCAGGATTTTGAGAAAATATCAGAATTCGGATTTATCTTGAACTTGAAGAAGAGCCCTGTTTTACTTTTGGTTCCTTATATTCCTGTCCGGGCTGAACGTTATATTAAAACAAAGTTATCTTCTCTCCTTGGCGTGAAGACCCAATGACCCCAGCGATTACTCTTTTTATAATCCCCTTCGTCCCAGTCTCATTGGACGCTCGGTGCCACCAGGTATCCGTTGAAGGTGATGTAAACGTCCACGTTGTCGCTGTACACGGCGTTCTCCCGCTCCCTCTTGTAGAGTCGCACCCACACCTCGTCGTTCAGACTCAGGTCCATCATCACACTCTGGCTCTGCATGATGGACCTCTCGCTGGGCTGGGTGTACAGGATCACCTGCTCCTTGTCGTTGTGCATCAGGTGCAGGTACGTCTCCTTGAAGTTCCAGGTGTGGATGTTCACGTTGAAGAAGTAGATCCCGGGCACGTAGCAGTAGAACTTGCCCTTGAACATGTTGAAGTGCTCGTACAGGTTGACGAACACCGTGTCGAACACCAGCGCCGTGTAGAAGTCGAGGCTGTGCAGGGACTTCCGACGGCCCACGGAGAAGGAGGACTGGGGGATCTTACAGGCGTCTCCTGGGACACCTTGGTGGCCTTTGATGCCTTTAGGGCCCAACGGTCCTCCCTGGCCTGGGGGTCCCTCTAAACCAGGTTTACCAGGGGTACCCTTATCGCCTCGGTCTCCTGTATCACCTGTGAGGATGAGAGGAGGCAGGTGAGAGGTGCAGACAGACACATGGAAGTTCGTAGATGTTCTGAATTTAAATGATGTTTTAATTCCTTCAACTTCCTTAAACACTGTTTTCTGTTCCACCTTTTCCTCGTACTGTGTTTTACTGTTATGTTAAGCCGTTTCCCATGATGCATTGTTGGCAACTACGCTACGCTTTAAATGTTGTTCTTGACGGCACAGATTAACTTACTGGTTTGACATTTAATTAGATGATAAAATGCAAGAGATTCCATTGTTGATCATTCTAATGGATTTGGCTGAAACTCTTAGGTTAACTTTTATGCCGAATATAAGATTCTCTAGGTCAAGAGTTCTCTAATTATCAAACCAATTAGATCACAGATACAGAGCAGATTTTACTGAGTAAACAACAGATCTGAGACAAAACAGAAGCATTCATTCAGACAAACACACAAAGCCATCTAGCTCCTTTGTCTCTCATGATGGTAACAAATCCAGAAAGAAATTGCAGCGAAGCTTTGACATTATTCATTCTAAGTCCTACTTTTAAATCCAAAGGAATTCAGTTAAAGCGATGCTTATCTTATTTATATTCCTCTCAGGCACCGTGGGACAAAATGTTCAGACAGATATGTGAGGAGGATCTTTGTGGAAAAAGTAAACTGTGTTAAGATTCAAGGAGACAAGGCCATTTATATATAATCTATCGACTTAGACTTCCACTGAGTACCAGTAGGAATTGCACTGACATTGATGCTATCTATAACTGAAAGAGGGAAGACATTGTCCGAAAGGGAGAGAACAATTTAGTAAAAGTGGAAAACTGTGATGTTTGAGAGAAAACTCCCCTAAAAGCACAGGGATTTTAGGCTTTGTAGACCATTTACATGCACTTAAACCTATAGAGCACACTACAGTGGGGGGGTTGGGGGAAACCCCAGAAACCAGAACAGGTCCTGTTGAACTTTGGATCTTGTTTGTTGTTGGACTCGCAATACACAACACAGCAGCTTTTAGGCTTGATACAACTTCTTTTGGGCTCGGCTCTGATTCTTTGTTTTCACCAGAAAGTGGGCGGGGCCATAATTCCTCCAGCTGGTGACGTAGCGCTGCTCTCATCTGCAGAAGTCGTAAGTGACTGTTTAACATATTAAGGTCCATGTGGTTGCTCTGCCGTCCCGGAGCAGCAGCCCCTCTGAGTCGGGTAACCCACACAGGAAGAAGCCTCCCTTGCCTCCTGGAGCCTGGAGGTAAACATCAGCCATCCTCTAAATAATCTGCCCACGTCTGACCACGCTAACAGCTCCAAGTTTCCACTAACAGAAGCTTAGCACCACCTCCCATACACAAATGGGACTGATCCTTTATCTTGAACAAAAACATCCTCATGCTCCTGCAAGGTCCTGACATCTCCTTCTCTTTGTGATGTACACATATTGAGGCACCAATAGAAATTGTTGTTTTGTATATGTGTAACAATTGTACATATGCATTGGTGTTTGCTGTCAAATATTTCTGTGTAACATCTAAAATGTAGTCGCTGTACACAGACGATTATTCTTGTGGGGACTTCCTCCCTTTATATTGTGTTCCTTTTTATCAATGTGTTCCACGGGAGAGGAGTCGAAGTGTGAGGAAAAATCAAATATATGTTACCGACTGATTTGTTGTATATCGGTTGTCAGTGAATAAACGGAGATCGGCTCGACGGTATGCTGACTCGGGTCTCATCCTTCAACAAAAGAAACACAACGCAGACACCGCTAATCGACACCGGTTACATATGGAATACAAGTTCCTTTGGTCAGTTAAAGAATCAAAAGTCCTATACGGTCTCTCCAGAGGAATTACAATGAATCCAATCACCATATGTTAGATATGTAAAGCTTAAGCACAGCAGATAGAGATCCAGCTGATTTGCACATCTTTTAAGGCTTACTGGCAGCAAAGGCAGGATCTAAGAGAATTCATTTTGCAACTCAACTGAACTCAAGCCAACCTCCTGAATGTTTTCACGCTGTGTAAATACGATTTATTGCGTTGGATGTAGATGTGATGTCTAATCTGTGTGGGTGCAGAGTCTCTTTACAGTCCATGGCCGTGGGCTCTGCTTTCATTTCAGAGATTTGGCTCTTTAAAAATCATACTGGCTGAGTGACTGAGATTATGGTGGTCTTAATGCAATCATCGCAGCTTCGGGAAAACAATCTCACACACATTTAAAGCAGAATATATTATTTTCCGGTGGGCAGTCTGCGAGTCACAGAGGAGAAAGAGAGTGTGTGTGTGTGTGTGTGTGTGTGTGTGTGTGTCTGTGTGTGTGTGTGTGTGTGTGTTTTTCGCCACATATGCATGTTCAGTGCCAGTATCTGTTGAGGCCTCCCTTATTGCACAGCTGCAATACAGTGACACTGTTATATAAAGTTTAGTTGCCTAGTCATGTGACTTATTCACATTTCCTTTATGATTACAGTAACTCCGTATGTGCATTGGTTTAGCAGCAGGACAGTTTACGGTGTCCGACAGGTGCAACGGCCCAAAACAATCCATAAGACTCCAGAACGATGCAGATATAAAAACCCAAATGTTCCTGTACACGTGAAGAAACATCTTCAGCAACTTCACAACACATGCAGCGTTTAGAGAACATTCAGCAACTTGAGGAGACATGCGCAGCGTTTACTACAAGCTGCAGAAACCTAACGCTGCAAGAAGCCCAAAACAGAACGGAGACAAGGGGACGCTAAAGAGTGACGCACACAGCTGGAGACCAGGGGACGCAAAAGAGTGACGCACACAGCTGGGAGACCAGGGGACGCTAAAGAGTGACGCACACAGCTGGGAGACCAGGGGACACTAAAGAGTGACGCACACAGCTGGGAGACCAGGGGACACTAAAGAGTGACGCACACAGCTGGAGACCAGGGGACACTAAAGAGTGACGCACACAGCTGGGAGACCAGGGGACACTAAAAAGTGACGCACACAGCTGGGAGACCAGGGGACACTAAAAAGTGACGGACACAGCTGGGAGACCAGGGGAAACTAAAAAGTGACGCACACAGCTGGGAGACCAGGGGACACTAAAAAGTGACGCACACAGCTGGGAGACCAGGGGACACTAAAGAGTGACGCACACATTTGGGAGACCAGGGGACACTAAAGAGTGACGCACACAGCTGGGAGACCAGGGGACACTAAAGAGTGACGCACACAGCTGGGAGACCAGGGGACACTAAAGAGTGACGCACACAGCTGGGAGACCAGGGGACACTAAAGAGTGACGCACACAGCTGGGAGACCAGGGGACACTAAAAAGTGTCGCACACAGCTGGGAGACCAGGGGACACTAAAGAGTGACGCACACAGCTGGGAGACCAGGGGACACTAAAGAGTGACGCACACAGCTGGGAGACCAGGGGACACTAAAGAGTGACGCACACAGCTGGGAGACCAGGGGACACCAAAGAGTGACGCACACAGCTGAGAGCAGACCAGGGGACCATGTACTAAAGAGTGACGCACACAGCTGAGAGACCAGGGGACACTAAAGAGTGACGCACACAGCTGGGAGACCAGGGGACACTAAAGAGTGACGCAAACAGCTGGAGACCAGGGGACACTAAAGAGTGAAGCATACAGCTGGAGACCAGGGGACACTAAAGAGTGACGCACACAGCTGGGAGACCAGGGGACACTAAAGAGTGACGCACACAGCTGGAGACCAGGGGACACTAAAGAGTGATGCACACAGCTGGGACCGGAGCGCTCTGTCACTTCCTTGTGAATCCTCTCTCAGTGTGAAGTGGACTGAGAGGATTAAAGAGGATCCTCGGCTCAGCGTCATGATCCAGGCGACACTATAAAGTGACGCACAG